AGGACGTGAAAATGATTAATACGTCAGGCTGAAACAAGCATAAACAGTTACATTAATTACATAATAGATTGTGGTATTGGTGAAATTCACTGAATTTTTGAGAAATCCTATCTCAGGAAATCCTGTCGGGACCGCACAGTGCTGAAACATCTTTGATAGCATCATTCTAGTTATTCATCTTTGAAAGCATCATCCCTGCTTTGTTCATAACTAACTGATGTTGAGAAATGATCAAGTTTCTAAAAATGCCTGTACAGATGTATACCCGTCATGATAAACATGAGCCTCTGATGTTGAGGAAGTGTTGAGACTTGCATTTGTCACATGTTGTCAGAAACAGGACACCCTGCTCTGCTCTTTGGGGCCTGTCAGTGTCTTTAATTCTTGCTGTCACCGAAACAGAGAAGGTTTTATTATTTGTTTGTGGCATGGCGAGACATGTCAGACCAAACTGAGGGAGTTTATAGATGAAATCTTTCTGGAGGCTGGCTTATGTCACAGCATGACGGAAGGGAAGACTCCGGTGACAGGTCAGAGGGTTGCTAGAATTGCTTTTGTCCCTCTGCCAGATGCTACCCAGTGGCCTCTAGATCTTTTGCTGAATACAGGTTGACTGTGTACAGACAGAAAAGTGCTCTTCCCACAGAACTATTAAGACAAGTCATTAAGTCTGTAAAAAAGTTGGCAATTTATTAAATGATAGCTAGTGGTCAAAATAGGTACTGCAGTCCAAGTTCAAAATATCGTATGATATTCACATCATTAAACCCGCACCCTAATGTCACTCTTTACATTGTCGTCGTCTCATACACACAAGTCTTGTACAGAACCATATAGGCATCTAAAGGTTTATATTCCCTCAGTTTCTCAAAAGTACAACGCAGACCAGTAACACTCAGAAATGCAGTGTAACACCAACAGGATTTTGCGGTAACACTTTACAATACGGGTGCACTAATATGCATTAATTCATGCTTAACTAATGCACAGATAATCATGAGTTAATGTATAACTAATGAAGAACTAAACCATTAATTAATGATCACTGCATCAGCGTTACAAATAAATGATTAATAGATTAAGCAATACATGAATTGCTATTAACTCAATGTGTCATTGTGTATTAATTCCTTAATAACATATTTTATGAACTAATATTGTAAATTAATGTGTTAATTACCACAATTAGTCAAAGTTGTGCACTTCAACTTCTAGTTGTCTGCTTTAATTAACCATTAGCTAATGATTTGCAAAGGTATCATTATGTTATGACTTTACTTGTTGGGGCACATCATTATTAACTAGTTATTTAGTAATTGTGGTAATTTGCACATGAATTTGCACTAACAATGAAGTAATTAATCATGTATTAATGCATATTAGTGTACTTGTCATATTATCTGGAAATTGAAATACAAAGCTTTGGCTCATTCTGGTAATTAACATATTAATTAACACTATTATTTAAAAAATGAATTATTATGGAATTAATCCACAATTACATATTTAATTAATGACAATTCATGTATGAACTAATTCATTAACTTTACAGACTCTTGTTATGTTGTAATAATTAATGAATAGGCTAGCTTTGTGATATGTAATCATTAATTACATATTAATTCTGTATTATCTGTGTATTCATGTTAAGCATGAATTAATACTTATTAGTGCAACCGTATTGTAAAGTGTTACCGATTTTGCCACTATGAATGAAGTATTCTCATCCACTATTCTCTACATTAGTCCACTAATACTGTTCACTTGAATGAGTGAATGAAAAGGAATGAGCAAATTCGAATTCTTAGGTAAGTAAAAAGTAAAAGTAACATTTTAAAGTATCCATGAAATCAAAATGGACAGTTCTTATATTTTATGGAATATTGCAATATTTGTCATAAATAATCTATCAGTGCA